CCTCTGTTGGGAATCTTTCCAAAAGAAGTGAAAGAATCATACCACAGTGATATATGCGCACCCATGTTTATAGCGGCACAGTTTGTAATAGCTAAAACTTGGAAACAGCCCATCTGCCCATCAATTGGAAACTGGATAAAGAAGATGTGGATTTTCTATAAAATGGAATACTACTCAGCCATAAAGGATGAGAAAGTAGATTTATTCATAGGTAAATGGGTACATTTTGAGGATATACTTCTAAGTGAAATAAACAAGGCACATAAATGCAAATACCGAATAGTATCTCTGGTGTGAAAAACTAAAATAGTACTCACGATCCTAATGGAACAATTAGCAAATAGGAAGAAAAGGACCAGAGGTGTAGGGACAGTGAGAAGGATAGGGAAGGGGGAATAAGGGAAAAGGAAAAAAATTTGAGAAAATGTAAAAATGGAATTAAAATGTTTGAAAGGGGGAGGGGAGGGGAGGGTGAAGGGAGGGTGGGGACAAGGGGAAAAAATGAGAACCAAGACCTGGCATGTAAAGGTACAAGATCCCAGTAATGAATGTAACTGTGCTGTCTACCTAGAATTTACCAATAAATTAAATTTAAAAAAAACTATATGTCACTGAGATTTAATGGTAGGGTAACTGGGTTTGAGCATTATTGTTCTCAGGCTGCCTTGACTTTCTGAATCTAACATTTGAGGAAAAAGTTTCAAGAGGTAATTGCTATTGATCATCAATTCTTGCACTAAATCTAATTTTAAGTTTTCCACACTCCAACAGCATGGCAGCTCACTAGAACGCAACTAATATGGCATAGAATCCACCTTCATGAGCTCAGTCTACCAGAACCAGAATGAGAAAAGTCATCACAACAAAGTACTCGCAAACAGGCATCATTCTGAGAATGGAGAAGGATGCAGGAGGAAGCCGGCAGGCTCCAGAGAGGACAACTATAGTGCTGAGTCTTGGGGTGACTGTGGGCCCAGGGATGAGCGGGGAGGGTCCACAAAGGTGTTGCTGAGGAGTGCAGTGAACCTGGGACACTGGAAGAGTCCCGCTAGTCCTGAGCACTGGGCACATGGGGTGGGCGAGGGTGTGAGGCAGCAGGACAAGACTGGACCAGCAGGCCATAGTCCCGCATGGGACCTCAGGGGACACAATAGGGACTGTGGAAACAAAGGGAGCCTAGTAGAGGATCTGGAAGTTGTTCCCCCTGAGGGAGAGGGGTGGATAGATGTGGTAAGAGACCAGGAAGGACACCTGTTAGGAGGTTGCTTCACTGCCAGGAGTGGGAATGGAAGGGGAGCCTATGGGGAATGACCTTGGAGCTCGGCCACTGCCACCCATCTGGCTGGGTGGCACAGAGAGGGGAAGGAGAGATGTCCTCAAACAGACAAAGATGAAGCAAGAATCCCCATGCGGCATCTCTTCTCAGTGGAAAGAAGAACAGAAACCTCCATGCACCTGACTCATAGAGTGCTTTTTGCTGTGCAGGGCCCCCAAGAGCTGCTGCCAACCTCCATACCTCCTATTTCCTCAGCTCCCTGAACTCAGCAACAGAGGGGACCCTGAGCCTCTGACTACGCCTCATGGTTTGAGTTTCTAGGACTTTGTGTAGTTTGAGAGGGTGACACGAGAAGTGTGGCCGTTGAGATTTGACTTCAAAACTGATACTGGCCAGATCCAAATCCATTGATCTTTAAGTATGTCCTCTACAACATCCTATGGGACAGAGTCAGCCAGTCAGGTCTCATCTGCTTCCTTTGCAATGCCCTGTCAGACTGTGGGATGCCACAGACAGTGGAACAGATCGTTAAGGCTGTCACCAGCATCTGTCACCACTCTGCAATAGAACTTGAACAGCCACTACACTGCAAGCTTCCCTGGATGATGAGGATGCCCACAAGGTCCAAAAGCAGCCATCACCACACAGGGTATGGTACTGTCACAGAAGCCTGGCAGTTACCAATTCTGCAGCATCCTGTTGGTCTTCTGCCTACTCCCAGAAGGTATAACCTCTGGGCTTTTGTATTAAGGTATAACCTCTGGCTGCTTTTGTATACCGCCTGCCTTTGCCCATACACACACACACACACACACACACACACACACACACACACACACACCAGGTCTGCTCACAGCTGCATGCTGGGAGCCATTCTTATCAGTTTAACTCCTCCCACCTACTACTGTAAGAAAGCTCTCCTTATAGCCCTCATCAACATAAGAACCTTGTGATCTAAAGTCCTCATCAGCATGTGATCTGCATCAACAGGATTACCGATGATGCCCCCTAAATTATTTGATACTCCAAGTATCGTGTGTACCCAATAATTATGTACCCAATGGCCAGCTCAGTCTTTGCCCACTCCGAGCCCCCCCATATACTTTGAAAGTATGCAAGTCTCCATTATCTTTTTTCTCTTTAGCCCTTGCTGTCCCCCTTTCTAGGCAGAGGATTGATCACCTTACCCACCCCCATAGCTGGACACACCCACCAACAGGAAAAGCCTCAGGAAGGGCTGCCAGAGCACCAGCCATCACCTAGTCACAGTTAACTGTGGAGGCCTCCTGGGTGCTAATGAAGGAGAACCAAGGAGAAATAAATTGGGTAGCTCTGGGATATCGTCCTAGTTGGACAGGCAAGGAGGGAGGTGCCTATAAATGAGCTGCATTCATTCATTCATTCACCCATTTGTCAAATATCTGTTTTCTGGGGGCCTGATGTCCAACACGGGTGACATCTGGGGACACACTGCTGGGCAAGATGGACAACTGTACATCGCAGCAGCAGCCCTGAGACCGTGAGCAGGGCACTGCAGGTACGTGCCTTTGTCATGGGGAACATGGGAGGTTTCAAAAAGCAGAAGTCCACAAGGGTTTAAAGGATGACACAGGATTAGATAGATAAAGGGCTGATGGGGTGGAGCTGGGAGAGGCTCCCAGAGCACAGGCAAATGCAGGGAGGGGCAGGACCAGGCATCAGTGGGATATCACAGGGAAGAGACTGGTTGCCTAGGGCACTGCAGCTGACCCTCCTAAAGATCATTAAGTAAGTAATGGGTTGGCTGAACACATGATCTGCCAATTTTCTAGGTAAAAATGAATAAACATCAGCTATTTTACAGGGTTCCACCTAATACTTCTCGGCACACATTCTCTGGTCATTCTCCTGAGTTAGCTTCCCTCCGAAAGGACACAGTGTCATGGGAAAAAGGAAGAGAACTAGTGCAGCTGAGCAGGTTGTGGACAGTGATCCTCAAGGATACGTGGGCCCCGTGAGATGACACTTGGGCAGGGTCCTGCGCAGCAGGCAGCCACATGCAATGCCAAGCTCGGGTTGAGCGATGCCTGCTGGGGACCACACAGAGGACTGAGCACAAGGGCAACGCTGGAAGTGGGACCGGCTGCAGCCCCTGAGATGGTCACTCAGGAGCAGGGTGAAAGTAAGCCCGCAAGACAGGACTCAGGGACGTGTGGGACAGGAAGGCTCCGCTCTCACAGCAGGGTGGTGGCCAGGCATTGGGCTGACGTGGAGGGGCAGTGAATGAGTTCCACTGAAAGTGCCCGCTCAGCTCTGATGATATGGAGAAGGGAGGCAAAAGAGGGGAAGCAAAGGCAGCTACCTGGCCTGCCTGCCAACAGATCACCTTCTATGTGAGATTTAACTAAATCTTCCTCCAGAGCTGTGGCAGGAGAGGCTGTCTGTGAACAGTTCTCCGAGGTGGCAGTTCACAAGTGGAGAGCCGCACCCTAAATGGGAGTCTCTCTGCCAATGGTCGTGTTCCTAGGGCTAAAACTGGCCGCTCAGTAACCTATGTTACTTGTGGTATATATGATGCTTATTGCCTAAAAAGGTGGTAGCTAGGGTTAAGATGAAGAACATGCCGGAAACCTACCCTAGGACACCTGAGAGGGCAGGAAGACAGCCTCAGATCCAGGCCCTGGCCCACATGGATGCCCTGGGGCCCCATTCTGCTGATCCACTTGTCACAGCTCCACCCCAAGTCTGGGAGTGTGGGAGGGGGGGAATGACGAGTCTGTGGGGAAGAAAAGACTAAGCCTAGTCTGGCTACAAGCCTTAGCCTGAGAGCACGCCTTGCGCCCTCAGGCTGAGTAGCAGCTCTCCCTGAAAAAGGGGGCTCAGCACAGAAGCCCCTCCCAACATCTCTCCCAGGAGAAGCCTGTGTCAGCCTATAGCAGTATCCTAGCAGACAGAGTTTTCGGGCAAAGTCTGTCTAAAGACCTACTTAACAATTTCCAAAATAGTAGCAAAATGTCTCCATAAAACCAAACGACTCCCAGGGAAGAAAGCACATACTACATTCTCGTACTTGTTTTCTTAATTGGGAACAGATCCTGGTGGCTGGGATTTATTTTCAGAAGTACACATCCACAAAACCCAGAAACATCTTGACAGGCTGCAGTATCCCTAATGCTTCTCAACTCTGAATTCCTAATTGAGTTGAAAGAAAGAAAGAAAGAAAGAAAAAGAAAGAAAGAAAGAAAGAAAGAAAGAAAGAAAGAAAGAAAGAAAGAAAGAAAGAAAGACAACCAGGAATTTTCACGCTGGTTTTGATTCAGGATTCAAAACAGAACCTACGATGTGCATTTCTATATTGTTCCAAGCCATGTATAAACTAGTTCCCAGTCCCTAAGACCCCCTCCAGACACTGAAAGAGAGGAGAAACAGATGGAGGCATGGATTCTGAGTTCAATGTACCAAAGAAGGTTGTTCTCCTGTTATGAGACATCCAAACTATCCTGTGTTCTCCCCAGGACACTTTTAAACAGCTTAATCCATTTGCTATTTAAAAGAGGAGACCTAGGCAGGGAGATGTTTGTATAGAACCTGTTCCTTCCCTCAGAGGATTCAGAGGACTTTTTGATTTTTCTTTGTTAGTTATGATAGAAATTGACTACCCCTTTTCATTGCTTAAACTAAATTCCAATATAATAAAGCATCCAGACATACAATGGAGTCTGTAATGCAGAAACCATCTCCTTACCTGAGTAGTTTTTCCTCAAGCATTTCCATGTATTTCACAGTATTTCCCTTCACACTTGCTTCTGCAAAACAAGAACCTAGTGTGAATGCACTTGCAGTCACGACTGAACACCCAGAACATCCAGTTAAAAGCCAAGACTAAAGCACATGGTCAAGCCACAATAACAGGAGCATCCCATGTCAGAAAACATTCAGATCCATTGGAAGTGCCACCTAAAATCCTACGTTGGGAAGGATTCTGAAGTGTCAAGTCTTTTTGCAAGGACAGTCAGAGCTGGGGCAGGGGTGTCTGTGCTGCCCTGGCTTGATTCCTCCCTGGGTACTTGCTAGTAGTCTATCACTGGTTCACAGGATTCAGTACACCCTTCTCACTTGGCAGCCAAGGGCTAGGTCGCCCTTGAATACAGGGTAGAGAACTGGAGGGTAGAATAACTTCTGTGACTGTTAATCTTGGGTGGAGGGGTTGTTTGATTTTGTTTTGAGGCAGTCTGGCTATGTAGTTCAGGATGGGCTTGAACTCACTGTGTAGCCCATGCTGGCTTCAAACTCAAGGTGATCCTTTTGCCTCAGCCTCCTGAGTGCTGGGATTACAGGTGTGCGCCACCATACTCAACTGTGACTGTTAATCTTGATTGTCAGCTTGACTGTGTTAAGAGGCGATTGGATTTTGAGCACACTAACTTCCTTCATGTATTAATCTATCAATGAGTTCATAGCTCAATGGGCTTACTGGGAGGTAAGCCCTAACTGAACTGGGGGAGGGGTAGATGCTTTCGAAGGGTGCATTTTCTCTCTGGCCCCTTCTTCTCTGGCTTTTTCCCTCCAACTCTACTTCTTGGTTGTCACAAGGTGAGTAAATTTTCCTCCTGCACATTCTTCCATCAGGATGCTTCTGCTCTGGAACCAATCAACCATGGACTGGAACCTCTGAAACCGTGAGCCACAATAAACATTTCTTCCTTTAAGCTGCAGATGTCAAGAGTTTTGTCCCAGCAATGAAAAGCTAATATAATTTCATCCTATGGATGATCTTTGGTAGCAGAGGACTGTAGACCTATTCACTGAAAACCAAATACAAACACGTGACCCTCCAGTGAACAGGAATTGGCCACTCAGCTCCCATGCCTGAGAGATCGGCCACCACTTGAGTGAACTCAGTGCATCCTAATCGGCACATACATGTGGAAGGAGCCAATGACTGTTCATGGTTCACAGGGCTAAAGACGGACTTTACTAACAAAAAAGAACTTGGCCAGCTCTACAAGTTCTGGTGGCCTCTGTTTCCTTCTCTGAGGACTGAATGCCTTCCTTTCACAGCTGTAACCAAATGAGTTGTGTATTCAAGGAGCTCAGAACTTGCCACTGAGGGTTTCCTTCCAGTGGGGGCTATAATTACTGATGGTGCTGCGACTTCTCTTGCTATTACTACTGATATGGTGGGGTTTTATCATTTTTATTCCACCCTGTTTTTATTCTCAAAGGCAATCCCACTGGCGCTCTAAACTTGGGGAATGTGCAAAAGCAGAAGCCAGGCTATGCAGATTTGAGCTGCTGGAGTCTGCTTTAGGAACTCAGTCTATTTTGAGTTCAGTATATACGTGCTAGGGTGAGGGACGGGGTGCATGTTTGTAGCTGGAAACATACCCTGAAATTACCCATAACAAAACTAAACATTTGGATGAAAATTAAAACAATTAATTCTGGTTCATTATGTCATCAGAGATAAAGAGAAATTTGTACAACAAAAGCAACAGTTTAGGTTGGTCTGTTATCTGATTGATTTAAGCTACTCTAACCTACAAACTTACTTGTGCCAAGTACAGCGGTACCTAGGTTCACAAACTTACTTTTTTCCACAATTCTGGTCACAAACCGAATTGGATGAGAACCAGATCAAATTGCCCCATAAAGTCAACACCAAACCTAACCTCTGAATTTGATTCAGTTCTCATCCAATTTGGTTTGTGACCAGAATCGTGCAAAGAATTAAGCTTATAAACAGAGGTCCACTTTCATCCTTCCAAGAAAACTAGTGAAATGCAAGTATCCCTCAGCACCCATGGGGGAATGGTCCCGGGACCCTCTACAGATACCAAAATCCAGAACCCTTCAATTCCTTATATAAAATGGCAAAGCATTTGTGTAAAACCTACTCAAATCCTCTTGTATACTTTAAATCGTTACTAGATTACTTACAATGTCTAAAACAATGTGAACATCACGTAAACAGTTGCTACGCTGTATTGTTCAGGAAATAATGACCAGGAAAATAACTTGCACATGTTCAGTACAGAGGCAATGTTTCTTTCTAAATTTTCCATCTAAGGCTGACTGGATCTGTGTGTGCAGTCCCTACAGATATGGCAAAGGCCAACTGTGCTGTATTTTAGCCCTTACTATGTGTCAGATGTTGTGACCATGGGGATTTGGCTGTTGTCACAGATTTTCTGAAGTAGAGCTTGCTCACTAGTTACCTGGAAGCGAGTGAAGCCAGTTCCAAATGTGCCCACCAGAACTTTTCCTGCCACATCCCACCCTATCCATGTGTATGTGCTGCACACTATTCTCACGTTTCAGGTGAGTCAGCCAGCAGAACCAACCCAAGACCTCTCCTTCAGCGCTGTTTACATTCGGGCAGTGAACACTGCTAAAGAATAAACATGAAGTTCCATAGATGATTAGATGGTGGTATAGAGTAGTCAAAGCAAGCATCACTGGGAAGGTGGCATTTGAGTAAAAACTTGCAGAGTGCCAGGGAGACAGCCCACATGCATCTTAGGAAGAACAGAGCAAATGGGAGAACCAGCCAGGATAAAGGGCCTGGGGCAGGGGCACACGGGGTGCTCCGATGAAGCACAGCAGGAGCCTAGTGCTCCACAGGGAGAAGAGAGGAGGGCAAGGAAAGACCCAGGTACCATCATGTGCCACCGAGGCAGACTGCACTCCCAAAACCTGGCCACATCAATATTCTAGTCCTACATCAGACCAGACCCAGGGCACCTTGCCACTCCCTACTAAGCAGTGAAGTCCATTTCCCTCCCCTTGAACCAGGTCAGGCTGTGAGGCTCCAACCTACTGAACATGATGCAAAAGACTCTGTGTCACTTCTAAGGTGGCTCTGCTAGTACTTTCTTCTGGGAACCCAGCCATCATGTGATGAGGAAGCCCACACCCATGGAGAAGCCATGGGTCGGTGTTCCCGCCAACGGCCAGCATCGGCCTCCAGATACAGGCATGAATGGTTTGTGAGACGGGTTGTCCCTTAGGAGTGAGGGACCTAGACGTCACAGGATCGAGAGGAGACAGCCTTTCTGCACTTGCCCCAGTTCTGGACCCACCAAATTTATGCACACAACAAACTTATTAAGTCATTAAGTCTGAGATACTCTGTCATGCAGCTGCGGCGACTGGAAAGCTAGTGCCAAAATTCTGCATGTTTTGAGTGAAACAGGAAACATGGCAGGATAAAGTGGGACTGACTCACAACTGTGATGTGGAAAACTGACAGTGAGAGCAGAAGACATGGGGGTCAGCACCATCTGGGGAGGAGGTGGGCGGGTGAGGGGTGGGAGAAACAAAAGCTGGTCCTTATCATCACAGCTCATGGATGGCATCCCATAGCAAAAGGCAGGTCAATGAGCGAAGGACATAACAGGGCCATATAACCAAATCCAATGATGCCAGAATGGAATGAAGATCATGTTCCCCTGGGGAAAACTTTCTATGCTTAGAACTGATGGCAAATGGACAGCGTGCAGAGGAGTGATTGCACAGGAGGGATGTGCCCCAAAGGTAACAAAGTGGGGCACTTGCTTGGGCCTGTCTGCTCAGACTCCTCCTAACCTCCCCGTATGGCGTTCTTTTCCTCTGGGGGTAGACAGGACACCTGTCATGTGCGGGTCTTCTGACCTACTTTCTGGGGCGCAGGTGAGAGAATCCCTCATGGCTAGCTCTCCCTCCAAAAGAAAAGGTACATCAGGGAAACTGTTGCATTTATGTAGTGCCACAGAATCCACAGTGCTGCACTGTGTGGTGGCATGCTCTGAACCCTGACAGAGACAGACCAGGGTTTCATCAGGTAGTGAGAGTGGGCAGATTTAAGTTACTTTTAAGGTAGAGAAGACAGGGTTCCCTGGTAGGTTGAGGGTCAGGTATGAGAAAAGAGAGGAGTCAAGAATGACCACAGGATTTTGTCCTGGGAAAAACAGTTGCCATCCACCGAGTCAGGAAGAGCTACAAGCAAAATCAGCTTGGGGAGGCAAGAGGAAGACAGGTGTGTGTCCATTAACTTTGAGAAGTTTGTCAGATGCCCAGTGAGACGTGCATTGTGAAAAGGGTATCTGAATATGGAATCCGGGAAGATTCCAGAGTGGAGACAGATGTTCTGGAGACACTGACATTTGGAGCAACAAGACTGGACAGCATCACTTGGAGGAGATGGTAACTTGAGAGACCCCTGGCAAGGGTGTGTAGCTACATTTTCATTGTGACAGCACCTTCTCTCAAAGGACAGACAGCACCTCCTGTTAGGAAAAAAGGAAAAGAAGAAACAGAAGTAAGCACTCAACAGGACAGGTTCATTCCAGAACAAACCTGAGAGGGACCGCTCTGGCACTAGAGACCAGACCAGCTGCTGTCACACAGGCTTTTGTAGGGTCATGGGGAAAGGGGAGTTCAATGAGAGGGGGTTGTGGCTCCCTGCCAAGAACAAGGCTTGAGAGAGCACAAGTTGTAACGGTTGCCCAAGGACGAGGCTTGGGAAAGTGCAGTGAGTAGCGGCTGCTCTCAACAGCAGAGCTGATGGTGTTCTGAGTCCCCAGGTGCTGCTCTGGTGGAAGGGGTTGGTTTAGAGGGGTCTCTGATCAGGATGGCCGTGGTCAGATTCTTTCACCTCCAGTGAGGAAAAATTCATGGTTGTATGTTTAGAAATAATCCAGATACTTCCCAAACTAATGCTTTTGTTAAGAAACAAAATGCTAAATGCTTGATTCACCCAACATCTGAAGGGACAGCTGATGATGTGCTGGACATGCTGGACCTGCACAGAATGTCCCAACCGTTT